ACCTCTGAATACTTAAAATTAGAACAACATTAAGAAAAAAATCTGTGTATGTATGTACATGTTGTAAAAAAAATTTTTTTTTAAGTTATCCTGTGTATAAATAGGAATAACCCACACAATTAATAATGAATGATACCATATATGTTATGTATAATAGATGTATAGCAAAGTTAAGGCAAGTCATTTTACTCAGTAGCCATCTTTGAAACGCCTCTTTGCACTCTCAGCTGCAGTGATGCAATAACATTACCAATGACTGGCTCTTTTATTTAGAAGGTGGGACTATTCCACTAGAGTGCACCATCTTTGTGTATTTAAAGCCTTTGATATATATTAGCGGATATTTACAGTATAGAATGACTGCAAAAGTCTGACCTCACGCGTGACCCTTTTTCTTCACTCAAGCTCACAGACAAATCTAGGATGCTGCATGAGTCTCTGACTGGTATCATATTTATATGTTTAAACTCTCGAAATCTCTGTATAAATCTCTTTCAGCCCTGGCCACTTCTATATATTCATTTAGTTCCTCTCTTGTTTCTTGAATTTCCTTTAAGACATTGCACAGATCTGTATGTGTTTTCCTCATTTCAGCAATGGACTTTAGTACATTTGAATTGACCTTTTTTGGATCATCTACTTTCCCACGTCTCATCTGGTGAATGTCTATGGAGTCTTTCACTATGAAGACGGTGTCAACAATGACTAGGATTCCACTCAACACTCCTGTGACTGCAGCTGTTGCTGCTGCTGCAGCCCGTCCTACTCTGGCAGTTTGAGCAGCAATCCTGCCAACATTTGCCAGCAGACCTAGATTCATGAGTTCTTTGGCACACATTAGTTTTCTTTTCTCTACACTGCATGACATTTGCACATTGTTAGAGGAGTCACTGACAAAATCCCTGAATTTTTGGATTACTCTCAGTACCCTTCTCACTGTATTCAGTGAATCGAGAATCGGTGTCACATCTGTAAAGTTCTTCTGAATTTTTTCAATGTTCTCACGGAGTGATTTTTGTTTGACTGTATTGGTAATGCTGGAAGCAGCACCTGTTACACCACCTGCAACTCCAACTCCAACACCAACACCTGTAACTATCAGAGATGCGCCAAGAGTGAACGGAGCCAAAATCGCACCAACCACTGCAGTGATTCCTCCAGCTGCTCCAATCACTGAACCTGACAGAGTGCCTGCTGTGCATTTATGATGCACCTCCTCTAGTGAATCTGTTGTTTTTCCCCACTCTGTAACTAAGGCCATAAATTGATCATAGTGCTTATTGTAGTTCTCATCAAAGATCTTTAACGACATCATGAACCTTCGTTCCAGTGCTTCTGGAAGTCTCTTGTTTCTGTTTAAAGTATCTTTTAGGAATGGTTTTGCTAAAATGTCATCAACTGAAGGTCTGGTTGTAGGGTCACATCTGAGCATGTCTTTGATTAATTCCTGTAGCTCCGGTGAATACATATTTGTGAATTGAAGGGGGTATCCTATATCGTGGGAGGCTTGTTGAAAGCGACGTTTTTTAACATCTGACTGTGCAGGAAAATGAAGAAAAAAACAATATAAGGAAAATCTGGTTAACCCTGAGATCCAAGATCATGAAACACTTTGAAGGTGCTATATACAATTTTAACTTTTTTTTTCTATTTGCTATGTGTAATTACATTCCTAGCAGGGAGTCGAGTGACATTTTCCATTGCGTCTTTCAGTAGTTGGGACAGCTGGACATGTTTGATATTGTATTTCATGTTATTATTGCATGCTGTTGTATGATTGAATATTATTAAAAAAATGTAACAAACAATAAAAAGTAAATGTAATAATATTCCAAAGCACACGTTTGTAACCGTCAAGAGATGCAGTGCTTCTGTGTGACATCTAGTGGCTTAAAACCCGTATATAGCACCTTCAAAAAAGTTTTTCTTTTTAAGTTTGTTAATATTTCATGTATAAGGTAGTATGAACCAACAATGCACAATCATTTTTTACAGATTTTGTAAATCCTAGTTAATGTTCCATAGAAAAAAGTAATATATTTAAAATACATTTATTTTATACTAACTATAATTCAAATCTATTCATATATTTTCTGACATATCGCTTGAGAAAATTACAATTCAACTTTATTTGGAGGACTACTTGTGCACAATGCAACGATTTGTCCATCACGGACTGCATGATCTCTCCACTTCGTGTGGAATTAATTTTTTTCTGCGACTAAGTGACTATTAGGGGGCAGCCCTAATTTTTTAGTATACTTAGCATGAAATAAATGTATTTCAAATACATTTGAGTATATTTTTCACTAGGGTTAATGGGGTGTCATTTTGGACTCCACTGACTGACTTTCATTTTGTGGACAAAAACAATTCTTTAAAATATCTTCTGAAGAATTCAGTATCTTGTTCCTCAGATGAAGGGAAGTGATACAGATTTTAAGCAACTTGAGGGTGAGAAAATGTCAACAGAATTTACATTTGTTGGCGAACTGTCCCTTGTGCTGCCTCTCAGAGAAACTTGATTCACACTAAAAGATTATGCCAAAACACTAGATCATGAGTTGTTCATGTGTAATGAACACAGTGTTTCACTCTGAAACAGCCCACACATATGTTTAATGAATCACAGCCTTCCTGATGTTAACATGGCATATAGCAATATACATTTTACTGCAATTTAAAGTTTATTTTTATTTTGATGCATCATAATGTAACCCTATACTGAATCTGTGTGAAGGTAAAACAGTCATTGAAAAGGTTTTGCTATGCAGAAATGTTTGTATTTTTTTTGTAATTTGCATTATTTAATGGAGTGTTTTTTGAGAAGGAAGAAAAAAATTAAAACTCACCCACACATCCAGCATGCAGAGATCATAGAGCACCCATCCCAGTGAACAAATATCACTACAAAATAATAAATAAATAAATAAAATAAAAATGCACATAAAGGATAAATTAAAGTTCATTGTTTAGACAGCTAAAGTAATGACCAAAATGCATACCTTTTGGAAGTATATAAGTTCTGATAAACTTCTGGGCTCTGATAGAGCTCTGCACCTCTAAATGAGCATGTATAAGAATCTGCTCTGAAATAGAAAAATCAATGTAAACTCAAACTGATAAAACAACTTCTTCTTCTTGAGTCTATGGGAGTCCATAGAACTGCCTGTGGAAAAGTTATAAAATTTGGCATGCAGATAGAAGATAGTTTCAACACAGTTTGCCGTCTCTAACTCAAACAGCTTTGAGTTATAAATTGTAGAAGCAAAATTTTTTTTTTCTCCAATTCCTTGGCTCATGCTGAGTTGAATGCATACCAAAATTTTAATTTCTACTTTTCGAACTTGTCCTAGACCGTTTGTTTGATTTTCACCAAAATTGGCTCAGATCATCAAGACTATGCTGGCAAAAAGTTATGGAATTCAAGTTATTAGTCAAAACACGCAAACAAATTTGATGAAGTGCATGTCAAAATGGATGTGAGGCAAAGCTTTAACGTATTGTATCTCTGCAAAGCATACTGAAGCCAAACTTTAAATGTGTCATTGTCACCTCACACCGACCACACCACATCAATTTGGTAATGTGACATAAAGGGATATACCCTTAAATCCTATTACTAGTTATTGTATTTATGATTTTCAGCCGTTTTGACATTTAAAAAAAAAAATGTCTTTAATTACTCATTGCTGAAGTAAGTCTGATGTTCCCTGCCATTCTTAGCTCTTTACTTTGCCTCTGTTGCGCTAGGCCCCTTAATTACTGCTTGCCGCTATATTGTATACCTATAATTATCACATACACACTTCATGAAATCTGATAATTAGAATTGGATTAGTTATTACAAACAAAATTAAATTAGATTTTCCCAAGTATTTTAGTCCAGCGTGTCCAGAATTTTAATGTCCAAGAATGTTAATGTATGTTTATGACTATTAGTTTTTTGTTTGTTTTGCTTTGTTTACCTTTTCTGCACTTTTGAGTATCCGAAATCCCCTAGATTGATGTAGCCATCTTCAGTCAGAAAAATATTCTACAATGACAACAGAAATCTCATCAATTATACACATTTGATTTGATGATAAATGTTTTAATGAGTTTTATCAGTGTCTACCTGAGGTTTGATATCTCTGTGAAGAACATTCCTCCTCTCATCATGAATATACTGCAGTGCCAGACAAATCTGAACAAACCAGTCAAGAATCTGCACACAGATGATACACATGGAGAAAGAAGAAAGCATCACTTTATACTCCTAAAAAGACGTAGTAAGACCTTATGGGGTTAGTCCATATGTGTAAATTCCACAGGGCACTGGAAAGGGCAGCAGTGTTGTCGAAAGTGAAAGGTGCAAGACAAATGATGATTAAATGTGGAGGCAGTCAAATGTAAATTTATGGTTTTGTTATATGTGTCACATTTAAGAACATGTCTCTCAAATGTGTGGACTAAAATATACGTTACAATTACTTTCATTAATAAATCATTAATTAATACATATATTCACATATCTAGAAATATGAGATAATGTGCTAGTTAATGTTAACTAATTAACTTATGAAGTATTACCAAATGATCAACAGATCATTTGGTAATTAAATGACATTAAACTTTTAGTTCACATGATCATGAATTTTTTTTTAAATCTTGATTTTGACAGATGGTTTACAATGATTAAATGCTTCAATTATAAATCATTAACAAACATTATATAATGCTTAACGGATCATTAGTTAATGTTTACAAATGTCATTAGACCATAGGCGTAATTT